ATTAGCACAGTATTGTATTCGTCTGTCTTCTTCTTAGGGGTACCTGTTTCTAGTCCTTTCCTACATTAAACAGCATTGAAACTGTTCAGAAACGCTTTCACACAACTGTCCAGCTGTTTTTTTAGGTGTGGCATTGATGAGCCAAGGAGCACCTCATGCTAAATGTCCTCATGGCAGTGGGAGAAGCTGGCCTTGGTGCAATGGAGGCTAAGGGAGAAACTTTAGTAACAGAAGACAATATATGGCAGATCCAGGCAAACAACCTCTTGCTCTCACTCACCTACCGGTGAGTTTGATTAGCTCACTGATGAGAGCTAATTCTCCTGTGAAAGGTTTAGTGTCAAACAGAAACAGAACTTGGGGATGGGGAATTGGCAAAATGTTAGCTGTGCAAGCATGAGGGCCTGAGTTCTGTTCCTGAACCCATGATAAAAAGCCTACTCAGTGTGCCAGCTTGTTGTAATTCCAGCACTGGGAAGACAGAGATACAGGATTCCAGAGACTCCTTGTCAGCCAGTCTAGCCAAGTTGAGAAGTTCCAGGTTTACTGAGAGATCCCTTCTTGAAGAAATAAGGAGCGCAATGGAGGACAGCACCTGATGTCAACTTCGAGCCTTCTCATGCACTTGTGCTCAACCGCACACACCCCAAACATACACATAAACAAAGAAAGAGATGGAGAAACAGAAGTTGTGTATTTATCTGCAAGCAAGCAGTAGAAATGACAATGGCCCTTCTGAGGGCTCTCCCAGCCTGCCACTGGAGTCCCTCAGGTGAAGAATAGGTGGATGGAGAGATCAGTAAACCTGTCTCTGCTCGATCAAAGACATGGTGCCAGAAGATGACACCTTACTCCCCATTGTGAATCTCAATGACTTCACAAATAGAATGAAAAGACAAAGCATGTAGATACACCCCAACAGTCAAAGTCTACATTCAATGGCCTCAAAACAGGAGTCAGAAAGGGCAGACACTAGGCCAAGAGCTTTCCATTAACAAAATACTACACTGGATGAAGAGGAAATAAGAGGCAGGAAGTGCTCTCAGTCTCACCACTGGTGGTCACAACAGCTTTGGGCAAGTTCCATAAACCATTAATAATGTGCTTATGGAAAAACTACAGGTGATTACACCTGGATTTGGTGTTTCCAGTTCCCCTTCCCTGACTACGATGTTATCTTCACTATTTTCATGACCTTTTTTTAACTTATCTTCCATCCCATGAATATGGACTGTGTGCTAAAGCCTGTCCTGGGGCCTTTATTATTTCATGCTCAGTCTGAACACACCTCAGCAAATTCACGTTATTTTTATTTGGTATTCTATAATATTTTTCAGGTCATATGGAATAGATGGTTTCTAGTTTTCTCATCAGGGCCTAGGAGAGTTGCTCAATAAGTACTTGATGGCTCAATGAATGAATGCATACAAAGCTATCCCTCCCCTTGTAAGCCCATGGTTGCCAGCACATTAGATTCCTTTACACATTTTTATACACTATCTCAGACTCTGTTTTGAGAATGAGACCTACATCAAGAATCAGAAATGAGCAAGGCTTACATCCCATCTGTGTGCAGCAGTGCAAGAGGCAGAGGAGCCTGCCTTGGTAAGAATCCCATAAGCCAGCAACTGAAAGGTGATGCCCAGCAATGTGTAGGGCTTCCAGAGGCCACTCTCAGACTTAGGCAAGAAAAAGTTCCATCAGGTGTTGAATGTGCAGGGTTATCACTCCTTAAAATAAGCATCTAAGTCCACACCCCACACTCTGACTTCTTCTTCCTTTTCCAACTAGAGTATTGAACTAGACTTTTCTACTGAAGATTCCAGTTCAAATATTCTACTGTCCTTTAAGAAGAGACCAGAAGGAATTGGCATAAGAAAATGAAGTATGGAATGTACAAACTACACGCATAAGAGAGTGACATATGCCTTCCATTCAGCATTAGCGGTGATACTCAAATTTACCTGAATATCCCAATTGCCTGGACAATTATTAAAACTGCCAATATGACTCCACCCCACTTGCCTGAGAGACATGTATTGGTTTCTTTGTTTTAAGGGAATCTGCATTCGTATTCCCCAGAGGGGAGGTGACCAATCCCTGCTCAGTACTGGAAAGAGAAATCACTGTGGCTGAGTGGACAGAAATTATTAAGCATCTCCTTTCCTCTCTGTCAAGAGCTCTTGCTTTCCATAAGCATGTTATGTTCACTCCCTACTTGAAGGCTACCTGTCATCCAAGACCTGCCTGTCAGTGCCATTAAGGGTGCTGGTGAATTGTGTCACATCCCAAAGTTTTTTCCAACTGTTCTGAGGCTCCTGCATCTGAATTTAAAGAGATACTGAAGTAACTGGAACGGAAAAGCCTAAGGGGCAAAGTTCAACAGCAACCTTTGGCAAAGCCAAATCAAAACTGCCAGGCTCTCTAGGGGTACTAACACACACCCTTTATCTCACTGCTCTGCAGGATGAGAGATAGGAAGATCTCTGTGAGTTATGTAGCCTGAGCTACATAAATTAATTTCAAGTTAGCCAGGGCTATGCAGAAGCCCCTGTCTTAAAACAAAGAACCCCAAACTTCCAGTCTTCTGATTCATCACATAGGGTGAAGGAAATGTTCATCAAATTGGTCACTGGCAAATTAATACCAGAAAGTAAACAAACACTTGGTCTTGGTGATTTGGAAGGCTGCATCCTCTGATCCCAGTAACTCAGCAACCGGAGCCATAGTGAGCTTTTCTGGACAGATGAGCCATTTTCCACTGATCATATTTAATTTCCTATAGTTAAGTTTTTTTTCCTCTCTCTCTCTTTTAAAACAAGATCTGAAAATGTGTTCTTTAGCCCAGAAAAGTCGAGTCTATTAACTTGTGTCATGTAATTCATTAAAACAAAAATAAACAAAAAACTTGATTTTCTTGAATGATATTGTTAAGACTTTCTCTCCCCTGCTCCATTTTCCCCCATGCACTTCTGTAGAATTAAAATGGGTGGGAGGGGAAGCAAACACTTTCAGGCCTTTACTTTGGACTGTCAGTGAGGTCTTGGCCAGGTTACTTCATCCATGTGAGTACCAGTTTCCTTACCAGATAGGAGGCAGAAGAGAGTGTCCTGCTTTTTTGAGTCTGTAGCAGAGATGGAGGGTAAGCGTGTAGTGCTGATGCTTTGTAATGTGACCATTCAGAAAAAGGCAAGGATGTCCTAGCTATCTTTTGAAAAGCTATTCTGCAGCCATGTTAGGGAAAAGAACATTAGAGCAGGAAAAAGAGCATCATCACACTCATCACGTGTTTAGGACACTAGACACAAGTATCATATCCATGTCTTTTTAACACATTAATTAGACAAAAGGGAAAAAAATCTTGTATTTTCCTTCTATCCAAAGTATAAAACATGTTTGTAACATATGTAAACACATATAAAACATGTTAATAACAGATTAATCATGTATAAACATGATTATAACGCATGTAAACATGTATAACACATGATTAAAATATATAGATTTGAGAAATTAAAATAAACCTGGCTTACCATAGTCAAAAAATAAAAATAAGACAAGTCTTAACTATTAAACTAGCTGACAGGCTTGTCACGACTCGAGTGCCTGAGACCATTGTTTCTCAGGACAACTAACCAATGCTAACTTTTGGCTTTTTTTTTTTTTTGCCTCTTTTGTTTTTAGACAACATCTCAATATATAGACCAGGAAGTCACAAAATAGCCCGGGCTAGCCTTGAACTCATGATCCTCCAGGTATGTGCCATATGGCTTCTTTTGTCCTTTAGAGGGACTAAGTAAAGCGATTTCAGCTAGATCCCACCTTCTATTTGTGGTAAGACCACAAAAATGGATTCAATCAGCCCAGAGACATATAATTCTACTGTTGCCATTGACAACTTTCAGATTAGCAACAGCTCTCCTTATGTTTTAGGCTTCACTTTAGAAATAACACTTGTAGTGGGGCTGAGGACACGAAACAGCATCACTCTGAGAAATCCTGGTACAGATAGAAGGCAACTTCTGACAACTCCTTGGGGGAGCATTTAAAGCCACTCCAAGGTAGCCTTGGTCTTGTATGGAGATACCAGAAAACTTTGAATAGTTGCTCACTTCGTTGATGCAGCTTTTATGAAGAAAGAAAGAAATGGTCCTACAAGCAAGAAGTCACTGGGGTTTTAAAAACATTGTAACAAATACCTTAAAACCAAGAACAACAGTAAGGATGCTACTCAGTGGTAAGCTGCAAGCAGGTGAAAAACAGCCAGGTCTAGGAGTCAGTAAGAAATACTGCGACCCTGCAGACTGAAACCCACAGACAAGCACCTGTTTCCTCAGATGCTCAGGAAAATACATCCCTAATGATGGACTCACACTTCAGCCCAAACTCCGTGACAATCTGCCCAGAATGGAGTGAAGTTCAGCCCTAGACTTATAGTGTAAAGATGGGACTGGAACCTACTATGAAGCTTGCAGATCCATTCTTGGATTTCCTAAAACCACAGGGCATTAGTCAAACTGATAAACACACAGTAGGTGTTGTTAATTCCATTGTAGGATAATAAGGCAGATAAAGAAAACCCCATTCGCAGCATGCATGAGGTACAAATGTGGTACGAAACCAAAAGAGAAACCAAGAATAGAAGAGATGAAGAAAACACACACGATTGCTCACCGGAGTTACACATTCAGACTCCAGCTTTGTTCTGAGTATCAACAACTTCAACAGCATTAATGGTTTTGCCCACAGATAGACTGCAGTCATTGCTTTCTGAGCTCGAATCCTGACTGTAAATTCTTAGCTGTGCAACCTTGAATAAGTCACTAAACCTCTCTGCAGTTTCCATATATACAAAAGGCTATTCCTACCTTACTGGGGAATGACCGAGCCATATTGTACAGGGTGGTGTCTTGCAAACAGCAAAAAAGCTGCTGTCTCCTTGCAGCGAGGCAATGAACCCATGTCAACACTGTATCTGTATTTAACCAAGAAGCAAATACCTGAGGTGTCACAGGCATGCTTTCCTGTGGAGGGTTCCCTCTGAGGGGTGCTGCGCCTATAAATAACGTGGGGTTTGTTTTGTTCTTCTTCATCCTCTTGCTCATCCACGGACAGCAGTGGTTCAATAAAATAATCTCCATCATGAGACCGGAACGTGCCCATCTGTGAAGAGAGAAGAGAGGTTGATTTAACACAATTCAGCCAACAGAAGGGACAAATACAACTCAAAGAGTGAAGTAATTCCAGGGAGGAGCAGGGCAGTTTCTTGTCTCCTCCCTCTGGGGGCTGCTGAAACTCTTCTGAGGTAGCCTGGCTCATCACCACTCTGCCAGAGTGGGAGCTAATTCTCAACCTGATCTCACCTGCTTTTCATAGCTAGCTTTTCCTTGGTGCTTAAGTTCCAAGTCTTTTAATGCTACAGGCAGCTAAAAGAGATCCTGTGGAGTGTTCAGGCTGCCTGGAAAGTCAGACAGCAGTGCATAGCTGAGGGAAAAGCCAAAACCCTCTCCTTCACATTCACCAAGTACATGTAGGCCACAATGCCCTAAAGATAGTGAGGCCTGCAACCCTGACACATGGCCTCCTCCTGTTCCCTTAAGGCAGAGTGACATCTTGAAAGCCAGTGTTGTCATAGGCTGCTACTTGCATGCCCAGCACCATACCTATTCTCCTTGAGCAGTACCCTTACTGGTCGGTTGGTGGTGAAGTTCCTGAAGGGCAGCTGTGAGGGTTAAGTGAGATAATACCCAGCATTCGATTAGCCACGTTTGAGAACCTTCTGAGGCTCTGAACTGACCAGTGTTTTGTTGTAGCTCATTGGTCTTGGGCCAATGTGCTCTTATCAAGCACTATGAACAAACACCTTGCAAAAGGTCATTCTCCTGGTCCCCTCTCCACATATCTACAAGGTTTGCAAATGATCCCACAATGCCTCAAGCGTGAACTGTCTAATGTTATATGAACATTGAAAGTACCAAGTCTCAGAGGAGACACAGAAACTGTTCTCTCTTCACACACTGAAAATAACCAGAAGCCTTCTCTCATTTCCTGGGCACAAGGGAAAAAGATCGTCCCTGAATATTGGTGTGGGTACCCGCACCAGCATCCTCCAGAGCCGATTAGACAGCCAGATCATGGGGCTGTGCCTCCTATCTGTACCAAAATCTCTAGGGCCAGCTCAAGAATCGGAATTTGAATGCACTTTCCTCCCAGGTGTCTAATCCAAGAAAATGCACACAAAATGCTAGGCTTTCCCAAAGGCACTGCGTTCCCAAAGCAAGGAGGATCAAAGCAGCCTGGGAGGAAGAATTTTTTCTGATGAGATTCCGAGTGACAAGATGTATTTCCAGATTCATAATTTCTAGGTGTGATGTCTAGAACCTGACGTTTTAACGAGGCTTCCCTCATGACTCAAGAACCTAGACTCAGGCAGAGAGGTCAGTTTTAGCATAGTCTGTGACAGATTGACAGGTCACCAGAGAAGCAGCAGGTTAGCACATTCATGCTCACCAAGGACTTCTGTCAGCAGTCAGTATGCAACTCTGGTATCTCATAAGCACAGGGCACAGGGCATGTGAGGCCTATGGGAGACAGTAAAAGGAGCCCAGGAGGCACAGAAATGAAATGATTTGTCCATGGTTGCCTTTCAGTGGTACAGAGCAGGTCGCTGTTAGTGCTGATTCTTGGACTCAGAATTTTGATTTTTACTTCAGTGTATATAGAAACAAATCCAGTCATTCTCTTGAAGACTATAATTCCAACTTGGTCACCTCTCATCATGAGGCCTAGGAGAGGATGATAGTTCTCAAGGCCCAGATATCAGCTGTTCTCACAAGCAAAATAAGTAGCTTTGAGGACTGGGTCATTGTATCACAGAGCCTCCAGCAAAAGCTCAAAATGGTAACAATATGGAGGCAAAATCAGTTTTGTTGTTGGTTCAGAAATAATTATTGGGACCCAACTTGTCTTGTGCTGACTGGGGTGACCATTTGTTTAAATACATGTATTACATACGTATACACACTGTGTATTGTATAAACTGCAGTACAGGAGAGCGGGAGATAGATTCTGGTGCAAATGCCTGGGACAGAAGAGAAGAACACACACGCTGAGAAGACAGTGAACATTTGAAGAGACAGTGTCTGTGATGTGGAACAAATACTACATGTAAGACTGTGGAGTCTTGTGGGGAAGTAGAAGTGAAACAATACTTTAAAAATGTGGCAATGCTGCTCAGTGATTGAGCTCTTGCCTGCAAACACAAGACTCAGAGTTCAATTATCAACAACATACTAACACACATATACACACATACACAGGAACACACACAGGGAAGGGGAGGATACATACATATACATATATATATTTCATATATATTTATATATTGAAATATGTAATATATATTGTAGTAATATATATATATATATATGGAATTAAGAGAGAATTTAGAGAAAGTATAAAGCCAACTACTTGAAATACAGAATTTTGGACACTAGGCAATGTGTGAGAGGATGTAGTATCAGGATCTTATTATCACTGGTGGAGTCTGATATTGTTCGCTAGGATGTCAGGAGATGTGTAGGCTATGTGAAAACAAGGGTGGCGGTGAGATTTTGAAGCCCGCTTGTTGACGTGTTACTGGTGTGTGCCAGGGTTTGAGAAAGAAAGAGAAGCTGGGAGAGAGGCAGGTAAGTGCAAGGCTCTCTCAGACAGTGGTCCTAAAGAAAGGAAGAAAAACAAAACAAAACTGAGGTGCAGACATTCTCTCGGCGGAGGAGAGCAATGCATGAGACAGGATTCAGAAACATTGCAAACGGGAGCGGTGGGGTTATGGCGGTGTGGGTGTACAGTGTCACTCACTCTGATGAGGGCAGATTTCCTGGAGGCCTTCTTGGGCAAAGTGAGGAACATTATTATTCAGGGACAGCTACAAGATAATAATAAGAGTCTTGGGATGAAATAAAAATTCTAGGACACAATGAAGGCAGGAAACTCTGAGCTAGATTAGTGGCCAAAGACATAAAAACCTAGTTCGCTTATTTTAAAAATATAGGTAGCCCCCCTCTTTCGCCCCTCCCCAAAAGACATGCTGCAAGTTACATGCCATGTTAATGGGGGATAGTATGCCCCGGAGAGTCATTTCAGGAGCCCCGGTTCTCAGTTCTCAAGGAGACCACGTGCACTGTATTACCATGTAAAATCACCAATGGAAATTAAGGACCTACGCAGAAAAATATTTATACAACTGCTGGGGCTACTCGGATTCCACCGGTGTGTAGGCGGGGAAAGAGGAGGAGTAAAGACTGTTTACCAATGAAGTACACAAGCAGCCCTATCTAAGATCCCGGAATTGGGGCTTCCTAGCTTTAAATCGGGGTGCGCTGATTCTCTGGGATCGGCCTCAAGACCAGCCTAGGCCTACGTAGGCGATAACCTCTCAAAGACTGGAGCCATTCTAGTGTCCAGGCCCAGGTTTGAGGCCATGATGACTCAACGCAGCATCCCCTCCCCTTGCTAAGCTGCGGTCTCCGCCTACCCCCAATCAATCTCAAGGAAGCACTTTGGGCTCCAGGATTTCCAGCACTTAGCTGGTGGGTAAAGGGGCTCATCCCCTTCCCCACATCCGACCTTCTCTCCTCCCAGTCTTAGGGAGTGCGGAGCTCCTGCCGAGATCCAGGAGCAGGCTCTTGGTAGTCGAAGAAGGATATAACCTCCAGACCTGGAATTTAAGACGCAAGAACCAGCCAGCAAATGTGGCAGCCGAGCACGCGAGTGAGTACCCAAGCCCCCATTTAGAAGGAGGGTGTGTGTGTCAAGGGGAGAGAGTAAATGCGCCAGGGGTACAGACTTTTAATAGCCAATTGTGCGTAAGGCGCGGCTCAGTGAGCTGGGAGAGCCAGCCGCGGGAAAGTTTCTGCGTCATACGCGCGTGGTAGAAACGCACATCGCTTGGGAAAGCGAAGGACCACCCTAGTTGGGTCCAGAATTGTACAAGACTCTCAACTGTCGTAGGAATTGGTGACCAATACCTTGTTAGTCCCAATGAAGGGTAATGGAGGGGTCAGGAAGAAGGTTTAGGTACCAACTTGGATCTCATACTAAATGCCTGCTTGACAGCGCGGGGTGGTATCTGTCGCATCCAACCTTCCTAGAAAAAAGTGCACTATACATTTCCATTCCTATATTTTGAAACAACCACAGGTTCTAGAATAGGGCTTTTCTTAAGGCTACCTCTCCAGGCATTCTCCCATTACTCTAGCGCCTCCAGTCACCAGGCCAGCAGGGTGCAGAGTCGGACTGCAGTGCACCACCCCTCCCCCCGCCACCTTCCAACCATAAACACCGCCTTAGAGACAGGCTCCGCCCTCACTCCAGGCTCTCAGAATATTTGGCCCACCCTTCCTTTCCCCGGACAGGATCGGCTTCCCTGTCAATCTGGTTCAGTTTCAAAAGTCCTTGCACGTGATAAAAGGCTCCGGGAGGAAAGAACGCAGGGACACTAGGTTGTGTAGCTGCGTCTACAACCTGAGATATCCCAGCACTCCAGTAGGGGTGTCCAGGGATTGTCAGTTTACATCCCTGACTCAGGACGCGCCAATGAGGAGTTGAGTCCGCCCTGCGCTCAGCTGCAGGGCTCCAGAGCGGCCAAGTTTGCTACAAGAAACCACAACCCCAGCAACTTTCTCTGAGTTTGTAAACCGACATGCAAGCTACTATGCAGAGTTGGGCTGCGTACAGCAAAACCAATCCATCCAATCTAAGACAGATCCAAACGATACATGACCCTCTGGGGACAGATGTGTACATTCTTCTCGAGAGTAAGAGCACGCAGTAGACCTCCAATTCCTGAGACCTAAGCCAGTGTTGATATTTAACGCCAGAGCATAGACTCTGTAGGTTCAGACTAGGGTGCAATTAAGTCTTAAAGAAGCAGACGAGGAGGCGGGGAGGAGGGAAGGGGCACGCGCCCACTTACCATTCCGGAGCACAGGCTGATGACCGCAGTGTGCTCGGACTTGGTATTGACATGGCCTTTGTAGAAACAGTGCCTAAGTTCCATTTCCTCTTCGGAATACAGTTTGGTCTGGTTCACCCCTGGCTCTCCAAGGAGGGTGACAGTGAACAGTGGAGCGATAAATCCGGTATGGGCGGTGAGATTAAATAGAAACTGCTGGCCGAAGGCTGAGAGGCGGTAATGCTCCTGGGAAGAGGTAGAGGAAGACGAGGAGGAGGCGAAGGCAGGCCAGGGGTCAGAGGCAGAGTTAATGCTTCGTCGCCTTCTTTTGAAGTGCACGTTCGTGGGAAAGGGTTCCCCGAGGGGGTTCACTCGGATGGGAGACGCGATCTCATATTCGCTCAGACTCTCTAATAATTTCACTGCAGGGAGAAACAGAGGCAATGAGCTAATCATTCATTTTCCCCGAAAGTTTTAATTTAAAAAGAAGATGGGGGGCTTTGTCCTAATTTATTTTGCAGCCACTTCGAGTCAATTCTTTCACGCTCCACCACTGGATAAATATTTGTTGAGCGCCTACTGTAATAGTAATAGCCGAGAACTAGGTGAGGGGCTGAGAATACAGCATTAGAAGTCAGACAATGATCAAATCTAAAAACAAAAATAATTACGGATTCTGATAAATATCCTGAATAAGATACAATGTACGCTCTCAGGTGATCCAGTTATTAAATCAAATTGATATGGGACAGGGGATAAGGAGGGTAAAAAAAAATCCGGTAAAAAAAGGCGGGGGGGGGGGGTGGCCCAAAAATTCTTGCAGTGCTTCCCTCCCTATTAGTTGACTAAGGATGACCCAGAGAAGGGAGAGACTCCAAAGGAGAGGTAATTCTTTCTAGGAAAAGAAAAGAGGCCTCTACTGCGGGGTGCCTGCCCCAGAGCGTGTTCAAGGAGGTGGCGATGGAGTGTGGGGGGGCGTGTTGGGGGGGGGGCTTGAGGGTCCAGAGCCTTGTTACCTTGCCTCGGGTGCAGCCTGTCCTTGCGCACGGCCGCCGCGGAGTCAGGGCTCCTCATCTCAACCAGGTCCGGCACCAGGAGCGTTAGCAGTGTGGCCCAGGATACTAACTGCATGGTGCTCCTCACCCCTCCCCCCGCTTCTCCCACCCCCTCCCTCCTGCCGGCTTTGGTGGCTGGCGGCGACGCGAGGCAGCAGCCGTGGAGAGCGCGCGGAACCCGGGCGCCCTGCCGCCAACTTTTTGACTTTAGGAGTCGCTGAGGTCCTGCAGAGAGGGTCCCGTCTGCGCTCCGCTGAGCAACGCTGCCGCCTGCCGTGAGCTGAGGCGCTCGGGCCGCAGGAGGAGGAGAAGGAGGCGGAGGACTAGGGCTCGGCGGCTCGGCCGCATAATGTCCAGCCTGCGGGCAGGAGAAGGCGCGGAACGTGCGCTCCGAGGCGCGCCGGGCGCCCTTTGCTGGCTGAGTTAGCCGAGCCGCTTCTTGAATGGGGGGCCAGGGGGCGGAGGCCCCCGAGGGCGCTCAAATACCCTAGGTGCACGCCTCCAGGAGGAGGAGAGGGGAGGAGAAAACGGGGCAGGCGGCCCGCCTCTTGCAGATCCTGTCCCCTCCTCGGCCGCGGGTGCCAGGACTCACCGCTTAGGCCCCTCCATCTGCCGGAGGCGGAGGCCAGAGGCGCCGGCAGCGCCGGAGCAATCGGTGGCCATCCGCGTCACCTCTCCGAGGTGGGGTTTTCAGAGACTCCCTGCTAAGGAGGGAGAGCGGAGAAAGTTCTCTCTCGGAGGCGCTCAGCCACCCACCCAGACACTCCTTTTCTACTTTGGTCTCCTGTTTGGAATCTCTCCGCCACTAGGTCTTGGTGAAGGTCTCTTTGAGCCCCTGTCCCTCTTCTCCGATGGTCTCTTCCTTCTCCGCTTTCTACTGCGCCTTCTCCACTTCCCCATTTCTGCCTGTTCCCTTCATTCTGCCCTCCCCACCCCCCGTCTCTTTCCATCACCCCACTTGGCATTCCAAGAGCTTAAAGTAGCCTTGTGCCGTCCGGATCCTACACTTGATCACTAGGAACCAGATTCATCACCTGAGCTCCACTCTTTACTTAATTGCCCCAAGTCAAGAGGTTTGAAGTCAGAGGTCTATCCCAGTTCTGTCATTCCAGTTCTGTTTCAAATCCGCAGTTCCCTGAAAGTTTCGCAACAGTTTAAACCCGGGTCTTCCCGGGACTTCTGTCCCTGTGGCTAGAGCGTCTACAGCGTCTGTAGGTCCCTTCCCCCCAAAAGGTTAAGATGCTTACTGTGCTGTAAGAGGGGGTGGGGACTTGGAAGCCCCCAATTCTGCCGGACATTTGAGGGGAAGGGAGTAGGGAAGGACTGTGAAGCTGTAGGTCCCGGGGAAAGGCACTGGAAACTCAAGGGATTTCTCTGTCACTTCCGCTTGCTCTCAGCGGTAGAGAGGAGTAGAGAGGATGCGAGCAGGAAAGTGGCTCCAAGCAGACACTTCGAGTTATCTGTCATCTCCCTTCGACTGAAGATGAACATTTGGAAGTCAGAACTCTAGAAAAGGAGAAAAGAACAGAGGAAGAAGGGGGAGGAAGTAAGGAGGGAAAATTGTTAAATCACGGGTAGGTCAAAAGCACCTTTTCCCCTTAGCTCTCAGGAAGAGAGGATGCGCTAATTCAAAAGGGAAAGGAAAGGGCATTTTCAGTAACTGATATGACTAATAAATTTATAATTGCCCAAGTTTCCTAAAACCGGAGTTCTCTGCTGCTTGGCCCGCCACTCAGAACTGAGAATATCAAAGTGCTAGTAGAAACCAGCAAACAGTGTGCTGGGAGTGCCACCCATCCTGGAAACAATGATGTATACAGTTATGATGATAGCGGAAAAATGACTTGGCAGGGCTGCCATTTCCTAAAGATGTTGCTAATCTAATTGGTTAGGCACCACTACCACTTCGAAAGGGCCAGGCATCCGGTATCTCTGTGTGGGTGTGCACTTGAAATCCTGCTATTGAGGAGGCTGAGGCAGGAGGTTGGAGAAATCTTCTAGACCAGCCTAAACTACACAGGAGACCCTGTCTCAGTGTAAAATAAAATAGCAAACAAAAGAAGCAGGGAATTTTAAAAGATGTCCTTTCAACCTTGAATCGTCCAAATAACTCACAAAAGTGAGTTTCTTCTAGCCTGCTGTCTTCCCTTTCATTGGGTGCTAAAGATCCCTCTTACTCAGTGTGCCTGGAAGTTGCTGGGGGCTGAGCATGGAAATCAGTTCACAGGAACTGACTCCAGTGGAGACTTTACAGAGCCTCTACCACAGTTACTCACAAGCATAGCACTGCTTCTGAAAGTATCTTCTACCAGGCAATTCCTCAATTTTAATTCACATACCTCCTGATCAAGAGATGCTAACTTCACAGACATTATCACACGAGGGGCTGAAGAGGTAGCTCCTTGGTAAGAAACACTTGCTGCCCTTACAGAGGTCCTGAGTTTGGTTTCCACTACCTACCTTTGGATGTTTACAACTGTTTATAACTTGTTTCAGGAGATCCCACATTCTCTTCTGGCCACCCCCAAAACCTCTGCACACATATGCACATACATGTAATTAAAAATGAGCAATATCTTTAAAATTACCACAGGAAGGAACACATTTTCTCCTGTGTAGCTTCTCTCTTTACATCTAAAACATTAAGAATCTGTTTGCAGCTGACGGGAAAAGAAGGACCAAAGCACTGGCCGTGACTTCCTGAGGTGTTTGTTGGAGGTCACAGGCTTATGAATATCTGGACATCATCAAAGTGCTTATCTGTACATCAATGTTTTAGAGAATGTCCACCTACAAAGAACATAATAGTTCCTTCATTGTCAATCTGCCCTGTACCAGACCTCTTGCTAATACACTGCGTCTAACTCAGTTGTTCTTATAGCCTTACAAGGCAGGTGGTGTTAACCATTTTGCAGATTAGAATACCAAGGTGGGGAAAAATGACGTATTTTGACATAAATGCTTGGCGAGTAAGTGATCTATTCACGTTGTTTTGGAAGTTTAGTCTAACTTTGTAATCGTATGTAAGCTGATGTGGTGGTGTTTGTGCCTCAGCTCCTACCGAGTACTAGGGAGGCAGAGGCAGGTAGATCTCTGAATTTGAGAGCAGCTTGGTCTGTATAGTGAGTTCCAGGCCAGTTAGAGCTTTCTGTATAGCGAGACCCTATTTCAAAAATCAGATGATAAACCCATAATTGTTATATAACAAGTAAATAATTAATCGGAAATGTAGCTAGGTTTTGAGACAATGACTAATATTGTTCAGAAATTCTTCAATATCCTATTCCTCCCTCTTCTCCTCCCTCTCCCCCCGCCTCTCCTTTCCCCTCTCCTCTCTTCTCCCCAGTTCTGGGGATTAAACCATTAAACTCAAGCCTAGTACATTGTTTGTTAAGCTATTCCACTGACTTACATCCCTGGTCCAGAAAGGGGCTCGGATAAGTTGTTCAGGCGCATTTTGGACTCCCACTGTATCCCAGGCAGGTCTCAGGTTTTGAACTTGCCATCCTCTGATGTCATCTTCAAAAGTAGCTGACATTAGAGGCATGAGCTGCCACTTTGCCTCTAACTTTTTTCTAATGTTGAGTGACAATCATTGTCTCATGTTTTCATAGCTTCTCCATAGAATGTAGACAAGTCCTGCACATAGCGTGCTCAAAAGTACTGAACAAACAAGTAATTGGACACACTGTACACCTTCAATACACACATGTGCACACTGGGGAAAGAGTGTTGGAGGTTGATTATATAAAGTGGTATTAAAATTACCCAAGTCTGAGAGAGAAATGTAGATTTTTTAAGCGCTGCCCTCCCCACTATCCAATGGACACAAAAGTGTTCTCTGAAAGACTCAGTGCTTTCTGAAGTCATTTTGAGTTCATAGAGAGATAGTTGTCAGCCAGTTTTTCCCTGAGTCTTTACTGGAATTGAATGTTACTGTGGGTTAAAGTGGAGGCCTTCTTTGGCTGATTCTGCATGAAAATTGAGTCCCTGAGGAGTGCAACTGGCAGTGGATAGCCCGGAAGATGGAAATAAGAGAGATCATACCATAAATTATTCTATTTGCTGAAACAAATGCCAATGAAGGAACAGGAAAGACAGACGAAGCAAAGAATTCACTGAAAGAGGATGCCCACACCCAAAAGACACAAAGGAACCAGGAACCAGAAAGACTTGTCTCCTGAAGGGCCAGCAGCAGGAGATGTGAGAAAGATAACCCCCGGGGAATTGTACTGCACTGGATTCTTGTGAATGAGGTTTTCAATGAGGAACGGATGGCAGCTGAACTGCATTACCTGCTGGGAGTCAGAATTTTATTTTAAAATAAAATTCCCCCTATTTTTTTATTTTTAAGTGTACAGATGCCTGTGTAGGTATGTCTGTGTATCAACTGTATGCAATACTTGTGGTGGCCAGAAGAGGGCATTAGATCCCTGAAACGAGTTACAAGAGGTTGTGAGCTGCCATGTTGGTGCTAAGAATGAAACCTGGGTTCTCTGCAAGAGCAGCTGGTGCTCTTAATCAGTGAGCCATCTCTCTAGCCCTGGGAACCAGTTATTTGCAGGATGGAACTGGAAAGAAACTATATCATCTTTGCTCGCCATGTGGTTAAATGACCTGTGCATATCTTTTGGTGTCACAGCTACTATCTGCAAGAAAACTGCCATGCTAAGAATGTTAACTGTATAGTTAACAGTAACAACATTAGATTCTGGGTAGCCTGGAACTCACACTGGAGATGAGGCTGGCCTGGAAGATGAAGTTGACTCTGCCTCCCGAGTTCTGGGATTTATAGGTGGGTATCACTATGTTTGCTAAGCCCCAACTTCTGCCTTCGTGCTACTTATTTGGTCCTTAGAGCAACCTGGCTATTGAGCTTTCATTATTCTCATCTTCCTTATGAAGAGAATCAGACAGCAAAGGGCAGTGCACTGCTGAGCATCACGGAACTAAGAGTACAGAGCACGTGTGTCCGCTGAGCTCAGCTCAGCCCCGAAGCCTGCGATTTCCATGATTTGGTGCAGCCTCGTGAGGCGCAGACCTCGGTTTGATTGTTCATCGTCTTTCAGCCTTTAT